GTCAGCTTTACCCATATTGTGGGAAAATCCAGTTACTAGTCGTTCATCACATTAAGCGAAATAGGATGAACACATCTCATATAGCTCTTGTGTGGTACCCGAAGGCTCTGACTCAAAATATCGGTTTGAACACTTTAAGGTATGCCATAGCTATTCCCCACCTGACTGAATACTTAACGATCTATCTTGACAACTTACTAGACTTAAGAGGTAATGCCATTTTGATTACCTCGCGCCAAGCTGTGTCCATTAGGATGCTTAAGAAGCGCTAAGCTAGCTAATTCCATTATTTCGTTCTTGAGTCCTTTTTCATCTAGCTAGTGGTTTCCCATACATTTCAGTCTTATTCACTGCTTATTCAGTAAAAGATCGAGCTCGAAGTATTTGAACCAATGGTCTTAACCAGTGGAACTAACTTTTCGATAAAACCATGAAATCAGGTCTTTTGTTCACTGGTAAGGTCGCATATAAGTTTGATAGAGTTAGATTATTCTGGATAAATCGACAGGTCTTCCCCAAATGCGTTTCCACATAAGTACAAATTCTTATAGGACTTTGATCTTCAACAAGAATCCAGAAATTTTTGTAAGATAGTTTCAATGCTGATAAAGCTACTTCCTCTTTGACGCTGCTCTGAGATTGCACTTCTTTAGTAGTCCATCTTTTTACAAAAGCTGAGATGAAGGTGAAATCAGGAATAAAATGGTCAGGCTTATTTGTCTCGCTTGTTCTAAATGGCTGTTTGTCAAAAGTCCATTATTTGACATTGGAATTAATTGCCTGCTAAACCTAGTGGGTAACCATTTTGAGCTAAAATATTACTCTAACTCTCCATTTACTCGTCTTATATGTTCGTATTTTCTAGATTCTCATTATTAATTTTTGTTGGTTTCTCAATTCAAGATTTACTTAGAGTTTTAAAACTTACTTTACAATTAAATATTTGATTGAACTTTTTGCTTAAAAGCTATAATATAAGCTTTTTAAAATATTGTTCCGGCTGATTATTTATAAATAAAAAAAATCAGGACATTGTATTTAATGAATGGTTGCTTGCCTCATTTATTTTTATATTTTTGATTCAATATAGAGCAATACTTTTATCCTTATAATAAATTAGATACAGAGAAAGTACAAAATAAATTAGTGACTTGACTACTCATATCACTGTAATCATATCAAATATGTTTAAATAACTACACAGAGTAATTCTTAATTTTATTTTGTCTTTTAGACAAGCTTGGGCATCCTTGGCTCCTTAAGGGGATTTAAGGACTTATTATTGGGTACCTCTAAAACGGATATTTTTGGGTTCGCGATTCCAATGAACTTTAGTTAGCCTTTTCTCCCAAAATGTTTGATAATCACGAGTGAACTGGCGTTTTACCTTCGCCTAGGCTTCAGCAGCACTTTCATTTAGACGTACACGTCACTCGAAACCGACTTAGCGACACCCACGGATTCCAGGGAATGAAAGGAAAGGTGAGACTTTCACGGCAAGCCAGGCCTCAAATTTTGTTTTGGGAAGGTCGAAAAATCAAAGACGTATTTGCCATTATAAATGACGAATTTACATATGACTATGAATATGCTGTAAATGTATAAGATATTCTTGGATGTGAATGTAAGTGGTAGGGCTGTGTAAATTATTGTCTTCGGAAGCCTAATTAAGGATTGAGCATCGGATATAATGGTTGATATTAAGTTGCATTACAAATAAGATCCACACAATATATGCACTATGTCCTAATTGTAGTAAGTAAATAATTGTATACGATTCTTAAAAATTTCGTAAATTTTAAAATATTATAATTTATAGATACTTTTTCCCAACAGTAAATACGTCTCAACAGCATCCTAATAAAGTCGATAAGGCCTTTTAGTTTACTGATGTATATTAGACCACTTAGTAGTATCAGGCATATATTAAGTAATCGTTACATAAAGGATCTGGAGGAAAGTAAATCGAGATAAACCTTCCAAAAGGGTGGACCAGGCTTCAAGACTTGAACAGGCATGTAGGGATAGTGTAATAAAACTCGTATTTATTAAAGGAACGCTAATAATATTCTCAATAATTCGTAATTTTTGGTAACGTGGCTAGCCTAGACGAACAAAACCACGCTTTCCAAGCCTTACGAAGTCGCGCTTTTGGGCGGTATGTAAGCCAATACTATGGCGAAGAGCATCAGGCTTGATGAAAACGGGCTGCGTCTCCGAAATTTCTCCGAGCTCCACTTCTGAATTAAAGTTGTCGTAATTAAACGGAGCAGGAACATAAACCGCAATAGTATCAACTTCTCTTTCATCAATAGCAGCAGAAGCACGAGGAATTGCACCAAGACTGGTTAGAAGTGAAAGAGTAGAGGGTAGCTGAATCTCCATGCCAGAAGGGAGAGATTTGGATGTTGGCGTTTTGTTTATGTTAGCTAAAAATCGAGCAGTAGGCAGCGGAGTTCCGTTTACAAATATAAGGTGGCAGAAGCATAGGTGGATTATGAAGTTGCAGAATCCAAACGAAGCAGTAACCTGCATGTAAAGGATGAAGATGGTACAATAAGTCGGAAAAAACTGAGATAAGCCTAATGAAATAATAACTAATTAGGTTTTTTAATGGTATGATGCAAAACATAGGGTAAATATTGTATTTCAGCCCTCAAATAATGTAAGATGGCTTCTGAATGATTCCAAAACAAATTTAAAGCCTTAACAAACTATTATGTTTCAATTCTCATCCAAAAATGGATGACCAGTTAAGTAAATAGAGCAAGGAGTCAATATTTTTAAGTAGTCTTAAAAAGTTGAATAATATTACAGAGCAGGCGTTTTTTATAAGCCAATCAATTATTTTTTATTTTTCAACTATTTCTGTCAGTTTTACAGCCACCCAAACCCAGGGTAGAACCAATAACGCCTCGGGTCGCACAGATGGGGTGGCAGGAGTTGAGTGAAATATGTGAACCAGGGAGAGGGC